GCACAGCGAGGTCACCCCAAAACCCACCCCGTGGGGACCCCCAGAGCCCCCCAGAGCCCCTCGCCCACCCTGGGCACAGGGCAGGGGGGTCAAACCCGACTGTTCTGGGAGGGGAACGGGAACGGGTGGCACCTTGTCCCCTCGCTGCCACCAGGTGCCACCAGCCCCAGTCTGGGGGTCTGGAGGGCTGGGCTGGGGGTCCCAGCAGGTCCCCCACCCCCGGGAAGACCCCTCCTCACCTTCAGGGCTTCGATGGAGTTCTTGAGGGCGCAGAGCCGGGCTGTCTGCTCCAGCAGCCGCGCCGACGAGCTCCTCGCTGCGGACAGGGAACGGAGCGGTGGGCGGGGGGGACACGGACACAGCTGGGACCCCCTCGGGTCAGTACCAGGGGCTCTGGGGGGCTTTGACCTCCTCAGGGTGGTACCAGGTGTGTTTTTGGGGTTTTGATCTGTTCAGGTTGGTACCAGGTGGGTTTGGGAAAGGTTTGATCTCCTCAGGTTGGTACAAGGAGGGTTTTGGGGGGGGCTTTGATCTCCTCAGGTTGGTACCAGGTGGGCTTTGACCTCCTCAGGTTGGTACCAGGAGGGTTTTGGGGGGTTTTTACCTCCTCAGGTTGGTACCAGGAGGGTTTTGGGGACGGTCTGACCTCCTTGGATCAGCACCAGGGGGGTTTCAGGGCTTTGGGGGCTCCCCAGCAGGGAGAGGCTGAGCCCCCCAGAGCAGCCCTGGACGCTGAGCCCCGTCCCCAGCACACCGATGGCCCTGAGTGCGACAGGGCTGGGGACACAGAGCTGTCCCCCTCGACCCAAACACCCCAAAGAGAGCAGAGCCCTCCCCTCAGAGGTGCCCCAGTCCCCAGCAGGGTTTGTGTGGGACCTACTGGATTTGCTGTGCCTCATGTCCAGCACCTTGGCGTTGGCGCTGAGCTGGTAGAGGGTCTCCAGCAGCTGCGAGGTTTTGCGGTACAGGCTCTGCGTGGGCAGCCCCTCGCCCGGCCGCTCCCGCGCCACCCGCGGCACCTGCAGCGGGGCCAGGCTGGCCCCCGGCAGTGCGGGGGTGGCGCTGAGCGCGGCGCTGTCCCCG